AAAAGTGGACAATTTGGGAACAGGAGATACGATTATTCCAGCTTTGCACCATGTTTTTATAATCGTTGACAATCGGTAACCATAAAAACAAGTCGCAAGGCTCCTCTTCCCAAATTGCCCATTTTTTGCACAATTTGGGCGACAATTATATAGGGAGACATTACTATACAGTAATAATCTAACTATTAGAGAGATATTATTATACGTGTATTTTTAATCTAGCAACGTTCCTTTAACCAGTTAGCCGTGTTTGACGAGTATACTCGTCATGGAGAAGTGGCAGTATTTTGTGTCATGACGAGTATACTCGTCGTGCGTAAAAATTAGTGTCTATTGTCTACTTAAATTTTATTTTTAGCGAGAACAAGAACATATTCTCACAAATTTCAAGATGTTTAGAATATTTTGAGGCCAGGCCAGAATAAAACAAACAAATAAAAAGTATGAGTAATTATATGAATAATTCACGATATTGGTATTCGATGCGCAAAGTGCCATTATACACCGTTCCTTCCTTTGCTGACTTTACAACAGCGATTTGAATTTTTCACTTTTATAAGTATTTGATTTTCCCTGCGTTTCTCGCTGATTATGTACGTAGTACATGTTAATGTCAAGGTGAATAAGTAAATATTAGTAATAAAATTGTTAATTTTATAAAATAAAACCGTCTTTTCGATCCAATATTTTAACAGCAACGCTTAAACGCGCGCTCTGAAAAGGAGGCGCCACAGCTAACTGGTTAAAAATGTCTCATATTTTTCTTCCAGGTCCCCGAACGTATTATTCAACAATATTGTATACAAAAAAAATACACCTCGAACAGACGAAACAATATTTACAGCACACATTTCTCGCGCACGATTTTCTCTCCGGCAGACCTTGAACCTTCTAATACCTTAAGCGTCCTCGGGCCAACCGTAAACGATGGCAATAAATCCGATCAAGTTAGCGAATCCGTCGGTGCAGTAGCAACCAATTAAAATCGGCGGTAGAAGGCAGAGAGTCCGGGTTCGTTTCGGTTATCGAAAAAAAAACGAGAGAAAAAAACGAGGCTCCGGAAAAAGCGCAAATTTACACAAGCATCGACGATCCGCTGGTCGGGCACGGTTGAAATAAACGATTTCCCGCCCCGGCTCTTTTCTTTCCCTCCCCCTCCCCCTGCTCTCCAAACATTTGGAGCAAGCCTCGATTCGGCGACGTGGGTTCGCGTAAATTTTTGGCTCACGTATCGCGATATAATACGTGCCGGCAATATCGATACCCGGTCCGCGCACAGTCGCGAAGGGCTGGACGGCGCGGGGGCGTTCCGGCGCTATCAGTTTTCAGCTGCCGGACGATTATGCAAATGCGGAGGGTCGACAATTATTCCGAATTAAATCGAATTCTTAATCGTGACCGGAATTCACCGGGAACGGGAACGAGCCACGCTCGGCGTCGAAAGTATTGCCGCAGCGTGTCGGGTTTCTCGGTTTACGATCGCTCGTGCGCTTCCAGCGGCCGACTTTTTGCAATTTTCGCCGATGCTTCTCTGACCTTCGATCGCGTTACGCTGCTGCAGAGATAGTTGCTGTTTTTGAGGGAATTGTTCGATGCCTCGGCTTAAAAGTGCGCGCTTTCCGGGATGCGACGATTCGATAAGATTCGGAAGAGTGCGCCGATTACGGTTGAATTAAAACGAACGCATTTCTAGTTGTTTCTGTCCAGCAATGTCGTGCAAGAATGGGACATCAAAATCATGTATAAATGTACTTTTTCAGTGCGCACGCTATTAATTTTATAGTACTTCAAATTATATTAGATAAATATGATTATGTATTAATATGCATTAATTATAACGGTAAATAGTTAATATGAATATATTATGTATTAATATACGTTACTTATAACAGGAAATAATTGATATAAATATATTATGTATTAATATACATTACTTATAACAGGAAATAATTGATATAGCAATATTATGTATTAATATACGTTACTTATAACAGTAAATAATTGATACAAATATATTCTGTTCACTTACATTAAATAATAGGTATAAATAAATAAAGGACAGTCTAAAAGAAATTTCTATAATGCAACTAAAAGTTTTACATGCATATTCGTTTAAATCCTCTTAAAAGGATGACGATTTTTTCACACAAGATTACATGAAAATCCACCACAACATTAGCACGTCTAAACACGACATTATTTTCTTATCATGAAAAATTAAATTGAACGTTCAAGCTGAGATAAAGTAATATTGTTCATCCAGCGTGCATAAAATCAAATCAGTAAGTCCGATTATTTCTAAGGCGTTTCTCTAAAATCGATATGTTAGAAAATATTGTTTATCGCGCGTAAGAAAGTATCTATTTAATTTCCACGTCACTCAACACACGTCCCAATTGAAATTTCACGTGCTCGTCCGCTTTCCCGCGTCTCGGCCCGTTCGATCCGCTCGGCCACAGCCGACCATTGTTGTATTGTTTCCTAGCTGCGGACAATGCAAGCTCCGCCGCGTAATCGTTAACTACGCGGCGCGGCGCGGCGGCGGTTCCCGCGCATTTATTAGTGAGATCGCAGAGCGCATTACGCGCGGAACCGAACTTGAGAGCGCATAATCCGCTCGCGCTCCACGCATCCGCCGTTAGGTGATTTCCAAGTCGTATATTCTCGATAACAGTTGATGGGCGCAGCTGTTATTAGCCAGCGACGGTCCGCCGCCATTATGCAAAACCGGACCATAGTGCTTCCAACACCTAATTCTAGCTACATCGAAGCTGCAGCCGCATTTAAGGTGCTGAAAAATATTATCCTGTCGCGGGTAAACGATTTTCGACGCCACCAATCATTTTGGAATTAATTTGTGATGAACACTTGTGCCGGGTAGAAGTACACTGTGTCTCACGAACTCCGTTCGTTTAACCCTTGCAAGAGGGTGGCTGGGTTAATTTTGACCGGGAGTATTTGCATCGTTCACTCGATTACTCAATTTTTAACAATTAAATAAAATAAATTGTTGTTAGGAACAACAGCAAGGCTGGCGAGTCTGCAAGAAATGTGTTTCGAAAAATTGCTGAGTAAAGCTCGGAATTGTTATAAACGTCGTTGATAGCACAGTTGTGAAAATGGTCCGCCGTCCGAGGCATAAATGTGTCGGTTATTTGCTTAAGTCTAGACCTGCCGAGCTCTGAAAGCCACTGAAAGCCACTAACGAGTGTTAAAAATTATGAAAATGAGAGCACTGCATTTATTTAGATTTCCAATAATTTTTCTCGAGATGTGAACATTCGCTAAAGAATTCGTTCGTTCGTTTCTTCAGAAAGAGTCTTCGGAGTTCCAGCGGTTCGAAAATAAAAGATGCGATCATTCTGACCGCAATGGCAGAATTCACTGTTAACACATTGCGGACGGCTCACGAGATATCTCGTTTTTAGCAAATTGAACGTTGCGGGCGGGTCACGAGATATCTCGTTTTCATGTTTTTTTTTATTTAATCGGCAACAAGCAACCAGCCGCAAATATTTCTGTTACGTAACCATGGTAACGAAGCCTCCCGCATTCCTAAGTAATTTTAGCGAAACAAATGAATCATTCCAAGCATGTAGAAATGATCAGTCATTATAGCCACTCTAAATCAATATTCAAATTTGTATAATAAATAATAGTTAAAATGTAAAAAATCTTATATAATAAACAGATATATAAACTATGTATATATAGTATTGTTTAAGAATACTAAATGCAAATTAGAAATGTGCGTATCCGCTTCCTGTTACTTGCCAAGCATGTTTTTGGAGCGTTCGAAAATGTGCGGTCTTTGAGGGCGTGTTGAACGCGCAGAGCCCCGTCCGTAATGTGTTAAAAAAGACACGTCGAACACGATTGTTCGGGTCGAGACAGCAGAACCGGACGATTAATTTCTCACCGGATCGCCGGCGCTGAATATTTGATTGGCCCGAGAAATGGCGAAAACAGAGGAACGACAAAGAATCTTGGCCGCTGCTCTGTAATTCATGACCTCGCGGCTCCTTCGCAATCCCGGCCGGCAGAATTTACAGTTGGCTGTAAAAGGGCCGACAATGCGTGTTTACAAAGTTGGGCGTGCCTCCGGGAAAGGAGAAATTGGATTTTCTTTGTAACCGTAGCGTGTGTATTTTGACATGACGCTCGACATCATTTGCGGAGAGCGCCTTTTCATTTCGCCGGACGAGGCGAGGCATTTTTCTTTGAGAAGACCGCGCTTGTTTTCCGCGCGGAAACGGAGGCGAACGAGAGCGGAATGGAAAGAAGTTAGATCGAATTTCTCAGATCGAAGAATTCAACCGGGCTGCGTACTAATTCGCTTGATCGTTTGTACGGCGCGGAAAATAGAGTCGCGCGCGCGAACGAAGGGGAGAACAAAGGATTTCGGAACGGCGCCGCGATTATGTCGTGTCGGCGATCATGTTAATTCGAGATACAGTAATTTCTTTCTAATTCGAACTTTGCGGCTCGATTTTATAGTAACCGATTGTCAAGTACTATAAAAACGAGCCGCAAGGCTCGAATAATCGTGACTCCTCTTCTCAAATTGTCCACTTTTGTGAGCGCGAATTAGGGAGAAATTACTGTGTATCGGACAATTAACGCATTAAGCGCGGTGTCAGACTTCTTCGACCGACAATGTACTATCAAAGTTAAAAAATAAAATAGTTGCCGCCTCGACGAGAAACGCAGAAAAATCGGCTCCGCGATTACCGCGTTAATTAATTGCTCAGAAGGGTCGACTCGCCGAAACGGATACGCACACATTCGGCTACTCTTTCTGATAATCCATATAGCCGTTTCCGCCGGCGGAATATCATTGTTCCGGTTATCGTCGCTCATAATGGAGCCCGCGCGCGGGCACTAATTACCGCCTCATAATAAATTCCCATTTACAACGAAATATTCGGCGGGACCAGCGTGAACTGCGCCCCGAAAACCAGTCACTCCAACGAGCAACAAGCAGCGGTGCCTGACACAGCTTATAAACCCGGCGAGCCCGATGGCCACTTGAATCGTTCCAAAGCCCGGATCACGAACTCTCGTGATTTCAATCCGCGCTGAACCATCTGTATGCCTACAGGATTCACTATCAACGGTGGCCCGCATTTCACCTGCGGATTCGGAGAGAACCGGGGGCTTCAATGACCCAAAGAAATTACATGGCTACACCGTTTTCATATGTGCACGAATGAAATTGTAACTACCATGATCAAAGTCCTTTGGCGGGGTACTGCGTGATGTTTAGAATTGAGGAGCCCACTGGATCAACGACGTTTCCCAATATATTATATATGTGTATATATATAATATTAATATATATTAATTATAATTAATATATAATAGTATTTAATACTAAATATTAATAAAAATTAAATTAAAATAATATAATATAATAATATTAATATATATATATATATATATATATATATATATATATATATATATAT